TGGTGCCCCAACCCCCTGATTGGCCCTGCTCTGTGTGTGACAGGGTGCGGTGCCCCCCCTCCCCCCCCATGGGCCTTGCTCTGTGTGTGACAGGGTAGAACCATAACCTCCCCATCGGCCCTGCCCTGAGTGTGATAGGCTGCGACGCCCCAACCTCCTGATGCGCCCTGCTCTGTCTGTGACGGGGCGGTGCCCCAACTCCCCTATTCCCTATCCCAAGTGCACAAATTTTTGTACCCCGGACCTCTAGTATATATATATAAAAGCCTAAGCAACTGTTCGACAGTAGCTACGACGTGCACTGACCACCAGGGGCAGACACTCCTACTGGTAGGTTAGCTTGCTTATGGGGTCTGGCCTATTGGGACTGGGCGAGACGGGCTGCAAACACTCTGGAGCCCTCCCGCAGTTCCTCCCTGGCCCTGATTGTGCACCAGTGCAAGGGACCCCACCAGTGCACAAATCTGTGCACTGGGCCTCTAGTGTTTAATAATATTGCCTTAGTTGGCACTAGAATGCTAATCCTTTTATTATTTCACATCCAGGTGAGTTGCTGGCTTTTATATTTGAGATTTTTCTATCTCTCTTCCTTCATCAAAGAAATATGCATTTGTTTTTTCTCCCAGGGTTACTTTTGTCCAGATGCTGTTTTGGTATCTATCAAGGTGATTATGCATATTTATGTGTGAATTCTTATTATGACTTATATTAATACTAATGACCTGGTGCACGAATTCGTGCACATTGAAAGGAAATTAATTAGAAGGTGGCCAATGGGTGTGACTGGGTGAGACAGGCCAGACATGCCCTGGAGCCAACTTCCCGTGATCCCTTCCCAGCTGGCCACACCTGGGGTGGCACTGTGGCTCGGGGGTGTCTGCGGAGTGAGCAGGGTCTCTCTGGCAGGTGGGGTCCCTCGGCCTGGCCTGCCAGGATCAGGCCGAAACTGGCTCTCCAACATCCCTCAAAGGGTCCCGGAGTGCAAGAGGGCACTCTGCAAAGTTGCTGTCATACAGGGTGTGGATTGCAAATGCAAGTATGCAATAAACAAGCTTTGGGGCCAGCAGTGCCCCAGCAACAACATAAACCATGGACGAAGGTGGAATCGTGTGGCCCCGCAAGGAATCAGGCTCCTCTCTGGTTTTGGGGTGCATCACCTGAGAACCGCCGCTGCCAAGTCACAGCAGCTCAGTAGCTCCTGCGTTGAGCATCTGCCCCCTGGTGGTCAGTGCGCGTCATAACAACTGGTCAGATGGGCGGAGGGACACTTAGCATATTAGCCTTTTATGCATATAGATATTTTCTAATGTCAAACCAACCTTGCATTCCTGGGATGTGCTACAATTAATGATACATTCTTTGCATATACAACTAAATTACCTTTGATAATTGTTTTATTTTCTATTTTTAATTAAATTTATTGGGGTGACATTTTTAAATAAGATTATATATGTTTCAAATGTGCAATTCTATGACACATCATCTGTATATTGCATTATGTGCCCACCACCCAAAGTCAAATCTTCTTTTGTCACTATATATTACACAAAAATATTGGATGCTTCATGTATTTGCATGTCATCCTTGCTAATCTTCTCTGTATTATTCCATGCTAATCTTTTCTATATCATTTCAATTTTAGTATATGTGCTGCTGCTGAAGCAAGCACACATTGAATAATTTATCTAAATTTTTATATCTTATTAAGTTAGATAATGTAACTTCGATTTTTGCGGGGGTTTTTTCTTTATTTTATTTTTTCCATTTTTGTGTATGTGTTTTTTATTTTCTTCCACTCCCACCCACCACCTCCCCTCCATAATAACTGTGCTGTTGTCTGTAGAGAGAAAAAGAAATATCAACTTGCTATTTCACCTTTTTATGCACCCATCATGCTATTCCACCTTTTTATGCACTATTGGTTGCTTCTTGTATGTGCCCTGTCTTGAGATTGAACCTACAGACTTGGTGCATTGAGATGATGCTCAAATCCAGCTAGGGTGTTTGCTTATTGTTGTAAAATGAGTATAACAAAATTTACCATTTAAACCATGTTTATGTGAATAGTGACATTAGATACATATGGCTACCATAATCAACATCTATCTTCAGAACTTTTTCATCTTCCCAAACTGAAATACCCATTAAACAATAATTCCCCATTTTTCTTGTCCTCCAGTGCCTAGTTACCACAATTCTACCTTCTGCCTGTATGACCGTGAACATTCTAGGTACCACATACAAATGGAATTATACAATCTTTGTCTTTTTTTGTCTGACTTATTTCACCTAGTATGCTGTCTTGAAGGTTCATCTGTACTGTACCATATATTAGAATTTCATTTCTTTTTAAGGCTGAATTAATCCATTGTATATACCTAATTTTTGTTGTTTTTATTTTGTTTATTCTGTTTTAAGAGAGAGATGAAGGGAGAGAGAGAAAACATCGATTTGTTGTTCCACTTATTTATGCATTCATTGATTGATTCTTATATGTGCCCTGACCAGGGATCAAAACCACAATGTTGGTGCATCGGGATGATGCTCTAACTGAGCTACCCAGCCAGGGCCCACATTTTGTTTATTCATTCCTTAGTTGTTGGACACTTAGGTTGTTTGTTTCCACCTTTTGGCTATTGTGAATAATGTTGCTGTGAACATGAATGTACAACTCTCTGAGTCCCTACTTTAAAATTTTTTTGGTATATACCTAAAAATGGAATTGCTGGATCATATGGTAATTCTACATTAAATTTTTTGGGGGAATTGTAATACTGTTATTTACAGTGGCTACACGGTTTTGATTCCCACTATACTCCAGGGTTCTAATTTCTCCACATTCTTGCCAATGTTTATTTTCTGGTTTTTGTTTTTTGTTTTTGTTTTTTGTTTTACAATAGCAATTCTGATGGGTTTGAGTGGTATCTCATACTGGTTTTTATATGCATTTTCCTAAGTATTTGTGACATTGAGCATCTTTACTTATTTTTGTTAATCCTCACTCGAGGATATATTTCCTGTTGATTTTTATTTTTATTTTATTTATTTCTTTAAGCAAAGGTGGAAATTTATTGAAGAACAGGTACAGGCTCCCACATGGGAAAGGGGAAAGAATTTCACAACACAGACTCCCACATGGGGCAGAAGAAAGAGTCCCCCCTCCATTGATTTTTAGAGTGGAAGGGAAAGGGAGAAACAGAGAGGGAAACATCGATGTGAGAGAGACACATGTTGAGCATCTTAATATGTGCCTATTGGCCATTTGTACATCATCTTTGGAGAAATATTTATTTAGGTCCTTTGCTCACTTTTTAATTGAATTGTTTGTTTTTTGTTATTGAATTGAGTTGTACATATAAAAAGTTATTTATATAACCTGGATATTAACCCCTTATCAGATATATGATTTGCAAATATTTTCTCCCATCCTGTGGGTTGCCTTTTCACTTTGTTGATAGTATCCTTTAATGCACAAAAGTGTTTAATTTTGATGAAGTGTAATTTATCTTTTTTTCCTGTGCTTTCGGGGTCATACCCATGTTATTTCTATAATGATACCTATTAGGTTTAGTGTTGGTATTATGCTCATCTATACCAATAAAAGCCTATGTGGTTGTCACACCATCATACCGTCACACCATGATGCTCTCATGCTGTAACAACCCATCACCAGGAGGCTGCATGCACAGTGTGCGCACGTGCGGTTGAGCGGGGCTGTGTGAGGTGTGAGGTGCACGTGGGTGGGCGAGGACTTGACCAGGAGGTGCATCGGGGGAGCGGATGGCAGCTGCTGCTGCACAGGGCTGGCCCGAGGCTCAGGCAAGCCACCAATGGCAGCTGCCGCTGCCCAGGGCTGGCCCGAGGCTCAAGCAAGCTGCAGATGATGGCTGCTGCTGCGAGATCCCGAGGCTCAGGCAACGAGGGCCAGGCCAAGGCTTGCACAAGCCTCAGTGGCTGCAAGGGCAAAGGCTCAGGCAGCCTTGCAGCCAGCAGTGGCAGCAGCAGAAGTGTGATGGGGGCATTACCTTCCACTGATTGCCGGCTCACCTCCCACATAGGGAGGCCAGAGGCAGCAGCAGCAAGGGGGTGATGGGGGTGGTGCCTTTCCCTGATTGGCTGGTTTTCTCCTGCAGAGGGAGGCCAGACTGCTGCTTAGGCCCACTCCCCATAGGGAGCGGGCCTAAGCTGTCAGTAGGATATCCCCTGAGGACTCCCAAACTGTGAGAGGAAGCAGGCTTGGCTGAGGGATCCTCCCCCCCCATGCATGAATTTTCATGCACCGGGCCTCTAGTCCCATAAAATAAACTTAGAACCTTACCGTCTTTCTCTGTGTTCTAGAAATACTTTAATAGAATAGAATTTCTCTAATTTTTAAAAAACAAGTTCATTTAATTCTGAGATTGAACAGTGATAATGGGGAAAATTTTAGGTGTATCAGAGGATGATAGCAAAGGAGAGATCATAAAACTGCTGAAAGGGAAACATAATTAGAAGAGACTAGTGGATGAATACTAGTCTCTACCTTCCACATTCCTGCAAGTATAATACATACTAGGATTATGTCCATTTATCTTTTACCTTCTAACCAAAAGCTTTGAGCTTCTTGGAGGGAATGTGTATGTGTGGTATCGTTGGGTTTTGGGTAAGGATGTTTTTCTGAAAACAGCTGGTAGGGAAAATAGGGTTCCTTTATTAAAAATTTTGCTTAAGTACATCTATTTTGTAATCCAACAAACACCTATAATTGGTCATGTCAGGGGTGATTAAGGATAAGGAGAAAAGTTTGGTTTAAATTTTAAATGACATTCCTTATTCTTCCACTCAACTTTTGCCGAGGTCCAGCCCCAGCGGGCCAGGGGTTTCCATTTTTGTGTTTCATTCAAGAAAAGTGTGCTTTAGGCACTTGTAACACTAATATATTAGGGGAAAAGTGATCTTTTCATTGTGGGAACATTTCTGCTACTGGCTATTTTAACTAAATGTTGTTCCTCTTGATTTAGGAGCTGAAGTTACCCTCCTATAAAGGCCAGTCCCCTCAACTAAGTCTCAGAAGGTATTTTGCTGACTTGATTGCCATTGTGAGCAATCGCTTCACACTCTGCCCTTCTGCCCGACATCTTGCTGTCTATTTGCTGGACCTATTTATGGATCGGTATGACATCTCTATCCAGCAGCTTCATTTAGTTGCACTTTCCTGTCTGCTTCTGGCAAGTAAGTATGAATCTGATCTACATGATTGGAAATTTCTATTGTTTATAAAAATGAAATAAATTTATGTAAAATATCAGTGAATATCAGAACTCAGTAAAATATCATCAAATTCTATTTATTCCAGTTGATGACTATCAGAAAGTTTATTGTTGAAAGTTCTCCTTGGGACAATGATTCTTAGACATTAAAATGTGGCTCTGGAGTCTTTTAAAAACATGTGCCTAAGCCATACATCCTGCAGATTCTGAAATAAATGTTTAGGCCACTCCAGACTCAACATCATGAGGCCTAGGTATTTAACTTTTTGAAAAGTTCCAAAGATGATTCTGGTGTCTTTCCACTTGAGAACCATTGTCTTAAAGCAGTAATTTTCATCCAGGAGTAATTGTGCCCCACAGGAGATTCTTGGCAATATGTGGAAATGGTTTTGGTTGTCGTCACAACCTGAAAGGATGCTACTAACATCCAGTGGGTAGAGGTGGGGCAGTACCCCAAAACAGAATCATCTGGCCCAAAATGTCAATAGAGCTGAGATTGAGAAACTGTCTAAAAGATACCATACTCTTCTATTGTTAGAATACCTTCTTCTGATTGTATAATGAGTAGCTTAAAGAACTGAAGGTTCACATGCAGCTGCTATACATGTGGACATCTTTGCATATGTCATAGGCACAGCTATGTGGTAGGTAGGCGGCAAAGTGGAATCTGATATAGCCATGCTTGTTACCCAAGGCAAAATGTGCTATTGGGCTTTTTGGTACCTCTTTCTCTTAACATCTTCCTGTAACTCATTTCATTGTTTGTTAGTACCCCAACTGAAGAGAAAGAGGGTGAGTAAAGGAATTGAAATGGAGTTTTTCTTCTTTTAGTAATGTGAGAAGATTGTATTAGATATGGGAGTTGAATCCATTATGTAGTTTATATATTATTTACGTAATTATACTAGAAATCTAAGCCCCACTTCAAAATAGTATTTAGAAATATCTGCTGCCTTTATCTTTAACCCCAACTTGAGGGTTTGGGGTCTATTGTGGCTGCTCTCTAAAGAGCATTTCGCATACTGCGTTCTTTCTAAAACATCTCTGTGCTTTTACTGCAAATAAACTTAAAAGCAAATGCAGGCCTTTGTGGTATTATTTCTGGTACTAATTTTTTCTCATGCTTTCTTTACCTACCCTAATTCTTCCTTGGAGCTGATGACCTTAACTACTTATTTAGTCTCCTTGGAGGTCTTTTTATAAGTTATTTAAAATCCTTTGTGGACCAAGTTGAATATAAATAAATACAGCCCTAGTGAAGACTTCCCACTGCCTGTTGATTAAGGAAGAAACTCTTTAATGTAATATTTTGAACCTTTCATCTAAACCCAGCCACCTTTCAAGTCCCATCTTCCAACTCTATTCCCATGTAGTTTGAGGTAAATTCTACCAGAATACTATCTACTTCCTGAAAAATCTACATTTATCCTTTAATCTATTTACATGCTACTCCTCACCCAGAAAGCCAGAGAAGTAATGCTTGTATATTTATAATTAACCTTTAATTTAACCTTTAATTAAGGTTTCATAAGCAATCATGTGTACAATTTTGTAGTGTTTCATCACTGGCTGTGAAGCCTTTTGTGGTTTAATAGTTTGCATAGAATTGGAAAAACCCATACTTGGCATATCAGATATGTGAGAGTCCACAAATGGAATGGTTTCTTGTTATGCTACTAATGTTAGTAATAATTATTAGGGGCTCAGTTTATACTAGAGACACGCTGGAAATCACATATGCAAGTTATGTTATTTTTAAAATTTGGGATTATTAATGAAAAATAAATTTTTGCCTGCTATCCTTTAATACTATCAAGCCCAGCCTTCTCTATGCCTGTAGTTCTTAAAGTGCTGTGTGGGCCAAGTGGGAGACTCCTCTTGGTGGACTGTGAAATTATGTATGATGCATAGTCAGTTTATAGACCAATTTATATTTGTGACTAAACTTTACTTACTGGTAACTTAATGAATTAGGGATTATGAAAGTTGATATTCATAAACAACATTTTAGTACCAAAGTTTACTGAGAATACTAGTTGAATAATCTAGTAAGAATTCTAGCCACCATGCAATGCTTGGGATTGGTTCCAAGTTCCTGCAATTTTCACAATTTGGGAAAAGGATACTTTATTTGTGCACCATCTTAGGTTGGTTGGAATGGAGTTTTCAAATTGTTCCTGTTTTTAAATTGTCTATTACTGTTAGTTTAAAGTGTCATGATCAATTTATTTTATTTAATATTGATTTACATGGTAATATGTAGTTGCTTTTTGCTTATTTTCGAGGAGCTAGGCTTTAGGATTTATATTTGCTGTGGTTCAAATATGAATTGTTTATCACCTATTACTGAAAGAGTTGGTTACCTCCTTCC